GGGCGGCGGCCCCGTCACGCCGCGCGGCCCGCCCGGAGGAGGCAGGATGCGGCCGGAGCCGGTCCGAGCGCAGCCCCGCGGGCCTGGAATCCCACCCAACCCGGCGCCTTCCCCTCCAGAGCGCGGGGTGTGGCTCCCCAGGTGCCGCTGAGATGGAGTATGCATCTCGCGTTCTTTGTCTGTTTGAATTCTCCTCTGACTTTGGATCTCGCCTGCCAGAAATGCAGAGGGCTGAGGCCAGGCAGACGCCTGCACTGTTCAAACCAAAAGGCCTGCAAATGCTGGCTGTTGAAAGCCCAGGCCTGGGAAGAGTTACTGGAACATTGCAACCCTTTGGATTTAAAGTTGTAAGCTCATAACACAGAGAATTATTTTACGTTGTCTCTTAGGAAATGTGAAATCTGGAACCACACAAAGCCGTGGGGCCATACCAAGAGAGGGAGAGCCTGAGAGCCAGCGCTTAATGAGCAAGTTCTTTGTGCTAGGGTCCAGATTTGTACTGTACTAGTGGACGTCACCAGAAACACTCCGTGAAGACCAGTGTTAGTCATCATTTAAGATGTGAGAAAACAAATTATGCAATTACATTTCTTTGTTCCTTCTTTATTTCTTTTTTTGTATGCAAGGTCTTGCTAAATAGTTTAGACTGGCCTTGAACTCACGGACTAGGCCAGTCTGCCTTTGAAATTGCAGTGATCCTTCTGTCTCAGCCTCCTGAATGCTAGGATTACACGCATGCGTCACCACACCCAGCTATTTCTTTCTGAGGTAGTGAATTAGGTGTCAGATTTATGGCTTCTGAGTCAGAAGCTCCTGTTCTTTCCAGAATATTTGTTGGCTATTAACAGTGAGCATTATAATCCTTTCTCCCTGCCCCCTTCACAGCCTCTTTCACCCCTCCTTGCCGGGCAGATCCTCAGGTTAGGGACTAACAGGGGTAAATTCACTGGAACTAGAGGTATATTGAACAGATCCTGCCGGATGTTGAAAATCAACAGTATTCCACAGCTAAGTGTAACTATGCCCAAATTTTATCTCATTCTCCCGTATACTGAAGAATTCTCAAATGGACTTTACTTAAAGGTCTTTGGCATACATGTAATTGCTTAAAAAATTAGGCACAGTCCTTAAAAATAGTTTCTTTTAAAGTTACAGTCCTTCAAAGATTAGCCTTATTACATAATCTCTGCTTTTTGTTTTATATTGGACTTTTATTTGTAGTTTTATTTTTTGACACAGTAGTCTTGCTACATAGTTCAGACTGGCCTTGGATGAACTATGTAGCCCAGGCTCTCCTCGAGTTCAGCGATCCTTCAGCCTCAGCCTCTCGAGTGCTGGGATTACAGGTGTGCGCCACACGCCCAGATGAAATCATTATATTTTATTGCGACATTTTACTACTGCCCTGATAGACACTGCTCTTTTCCCAGATAGGTTAGAGATTGTCATCAAGAATGCTCATCTATACTTCAAAGCAAATATGAAGATGTTCTCAGTAACCTGAAACCGTTATTAACATAGGTTAGTTATGGTCTGAAGAGTCTCAGTCACAGAATCATAGACAGGTTCATTGATGACAAAAATGACCTTAAAGCCAGTAATCCCAGCACTCTGGAGGCATTGCTTCGAGTTGGAGGCCATTCTGAGCTGCATAGTGAGTTCAAGCCCAGGCTGAACTGCACAGCAAGACCTGGTCTCCGGAAAACAAACAAACAAACAAAACAAGACAAAAAACCTAGCAGAAAAAACCTTGAAGCAACTGCTTCTTTACCTTCCAAATGCTGGGACAAAGCTAATGCCAAATAGATTTTAGTTGGATTGCAAGCTGAAGGTGTCTATCAGTACATCCATTGCCTGTTTGCATATAGTCAGACTCTCCATTCTTAAAATACCTTGCTTGTTACCTTAGGCTTAACTGACCATAAGCCAAAGGAGTCTGAGAAGATAGTTTCATCAGCAGCTGTATTAAAGACCTTACTTAAAACTTCATGTTCTCTATTCTTTTTTTTCCTGTGGCACTGGGAATCGAACCCATGGCCTCATGCATGCCTGGCAAGCACTCTGCCACTTAGCCACATCCCCAACTGTGTGTTCTCTATTCGAAATAAAGTTTGGACTCTTCTTAGATATACATATTGGAAATTACAGATGTTTTTGTCATACTTTTATAACACGTATGCTTGTATAACACTTCTGTTTTACAAAATGATTGCAGTTCAAGCCATGTGTTGATTTGAGATTTAGGGAATTGGATCCAGACTGAGTTCAGGGAGTCTTGCTGGAAACTGCCCCCTGGTTCCACTCACCAGGTTGACTGGCAATTCTCTTTCCCAGCAGGACTCCTTAATTCTTCTCCAGACCCAGCCTTTTCTGCAGTGTTTTCTAAGAGGCCTCCCTACAGCTGACTCACGTAATTCCTTGGTGCTACTGCATACCCCGGTCCTACTCGAGTTTTCTTCAAAGTTATATGTAGACCCATTGCCTCTATGTTTTCTTCCATTGTAAAATCTATATAGCAACAACAAAAAAAGTAAAGAGAGAGTCCGTTTGGAAGCTCTTGAGTAGAAGAAGGCCTGAGTTCATTCTCATATCTACACATTGCCATTTGTTAATGATAAGAATAAACTATAATACAATGGATGTTCTAATTGTGAAATCATGAGCAGTTTCATGCTTCCACAAAGATATGAAGATGTGAAATGCAAAGGATTGTGCAGATTAATTAAATTAATGTAGGTTTCTCAAAGTTAATGCATTAAGTATATATACAGACAAAATGTTAAGCAAACATCCTGATGTATTATATTTTTTATATCATGACCATTTGGTTCCCCAGCAGGCTTCCACAGTTAACCTAGGGGTGGTGCTGTTTGACATTGTGCTTGAATCTCAAAAGTGGCAAGGTAATGCGTAAGGTCCTTCAAGCTCTCAGGATTAAGGTGCAAATATACTGCCACCAGCCTGCCTTCCTTTTACGTTATTTATTTATTTTTGCTTTACTAAGGGTTAAAGCTTGGGCCTTTGCTTTGAGCTTTGGACCCAGCCCTTTTTATTTTTTATTTTGAGACAGGTTCTTGCTAAGTTACTAAATTGCTCAGGCAGAGGTTGAATTTAAATCCTCCTACTTCAGCCTCGTACAGTGCTGGAACTACAGGTGTGTACCACCATTGCCTTGCTCTTTCTTCCTTTCAGATTCATCTTAATCTGCAGGTTTTTCTTTGGCTTTCAGTCATTTAATTACTCATAGGTGGCAGGAACTGTGCTAGACCCTAGAATACACAAGGGAACCAGATAGAAGGTCTTTGTAGGGAGCTTTTTTTCTTGTGTGGGGAGATAGGTGGTTAACAAGTTTAAAAAAAAAAAAAAAGATGATTACCAGTCAAAGAATATCTTAAATGAAGGAAGTGGACAAAGTGAGGGTGGGTGTGGTTTAGGTGAGGATGACCTCTCACGGGGAACTGATTTCTGAAGGAGCTGGACCACCCAGGAGAACAGCTAGGGAAGGGAAGTGTAAAGAGCTTGGACTAAGGAGAAATTTGGGGTGCGGGGGGAAGGCTGTGGATTCAAGGTGCACTGTATCACAGTTTCAAACAACTTGTCTTCTGGTGGGTTGAATGAGGCGTGTCCCAGAGAGCTCTATAGTGACTGAGTTTTGGCTGGACTGATTGGGTGATCTTGCTGATTTTTACTTCCGTGTGACGTGTACCAAATAGGAAACCAGTACAGTGGTACCTCGGTTCACGAACTCAGTTGTCTCCACAATTCTCACAAATTCCAAATGGATGAGAACTGATTCACTTTTCCCCATAGGGTCACCACTGAACCTAGCTATGGAATTTTTTTTTTTTTTTTTTTTTGCTTTTTTGAGACAGGGTCTCGCTATGTAGTTCAGGCTGGCCTTG